TATATATATATATATATATATATATATATATATATATATATATAATCTATTAATCTAATAAATAAGGAGAATTATATATATATATATCATCATTATTATTATTATTATTATTATTAGATTATATAGATTACTCCTGAAGCATATTGTCCCAAAATTATGGTACTTCCAGGAAACGAGGGGTTCCTGAGGTTATTTCAAGTAACTTTCTCCTCAGCGAAAATACACTCCGCGACTTTGTTTTCGAGTTATTAACAAAAAACAGTGACCAATGAGAGGCGAGATCAGCTGGCGCGGGGCGGCTGGGCCAATCAACGGAACTGTGCTTCGTCCGCTCATTGGCCGCCTAGCGCTGAGCGAGCTTGCCTCTGATTGGTCAGCGTTTCTCGTTAATAACTCGTGAACGAAGCCACACATTGCATTTTCGCTAAGGAAAAAATTACTTCAAATAACCTCTGGAAATCCTCGGTTCCCGGAAGTACCATAATTCTGTGACACCCTGTACACAAGTTCGCGGTAGTGTCGTCACGAGAGCGAGACGACTGTCAACAGAAATTCTCTCTTATCCACGGTAGTCGTGTCGATCGATCCGGGTCGTTGGAATTTTTAGCAGTTCTTTCTCGGGTCACGATCAACCTTTTCGTGACGGTATCCTCGTGAGCACGACATCCTCGAAAACATTGAAATACCATTCGCCACGTATCGCTTCTTACAAAAAGCTTCATTTATTTGCTCTCTATGGAGAATCTTTTCCACAAATCTTCTTAACTATTCAACTTCTACGTTCGGATATATTCAGAAATGATAATCTGAAGGTGTTCTCCTACTTTTTCGAATTGTTTCCAAGAAAATTGATGTTAAAGCGGACGGTCAGCATTTTATTAAAAATGCTTTTTATATTTCATTCGGCAGCTTCATCGGTTAGAAATGTGTTCGTCAATCGATTTTCTTTCCTTGTATACAATTTTGATGACAATTCTGAGATATTTTTATACGCGCTATCAAATATTTACGTATATAGTTTTTTCAAATTATTTTATTAAATATTACAGACTATTTTTGTAAATATTATTATTTATTAAATATTATAGAATATTATTATTTATTAAATATTATATAATATTATTATTTATTAAATATTATATAATATTGTTATTTATTAAATATTATATAATATTGTTATTTATTAAATATTATATAATATTATTATTTATTAAGTATTATATATATATAATATTTATTTTATTAAATATTACAGATTATCTCTTTAACTATCATTATTCATTAAATATTATATAATACTTATTTTATTAAATATATTTTATTAATTATTATTAATATCATTCCTTATTTTTGTAATTTAATATCAAATCGACTTATTCTTGCAAACAATTGCTTTCTACGTTTTTCCATACGTATTTACACATGCTGGTATGAAATATTTTAGAAATTTAAAAATTATATAGGTCAGTTGAGGTCACTTCGTAGCTACCAATCAGCCCAAGCCAGTTCAAAGTCTGGCATGTTCATTTATCGTGTGACGTATCGCTCAGTTTTGCTCGTCCATTGCACAAAGGAACCCGCTGGTCTGTGCATCTGATACACTTCGCAGTTCTGGAAGGCAGAATCAGAGAAAATTCATTTCCCTTTAAAACCGCAACGATTTCACGGTACGAAATTAATTTAAAGGTATATTTTAGACTCGAATGAAAGCTTTGGTCAGAGAGAAAAGTGGATAACACATTTGCTGGATTTTCTAAAAAAGAAATAACGACAGATCCACAGAACTTCTTACGGGAGAAAAATAAACTTTGGTTATCCTAATTTTCTAAGAAAGATGCCTTCTACGAAAATAAATAAATAAATTTTAATAGGATAGCTTAATTTTGTAAGGAAGAAATATAAATTTATATAACCAAATTTTCTACGAAAGAAAATTAAATTGAAATGGATTGGCTTCATTTATTAAGAAAGAAAAATAGATTTTTTAATAGACTAGCTTAATTTTGTAAGAAAAGAAAATAGATCTTAATAGACTAGCTTAATTTGTTAAGAAAGGAAAATAGATTTTAATAAACAAGCTTAATTTTTTGTAAGAAAGAAAAACATATTTTAATGGACCAGCTTAATTTATTAAAAAAGGAAAATAGATCTTAACAGACTAGCTTAATTTGATAAGAAAGAAAAATAGATTTTAATAAACAAGCTTAATTTTTTGTAAGAAAGAGAAACATATTTTAATAGACCATTTTAATTTATTAAAAAAGGAAAATAGATCTTAATAGACTAGCTTAATTTGTTAAGAAAGAAAAACATATTTTAATGCACTAGCCTAATTTTGTAAGAAAGAAAAACATATTTTAATGGACCAGCTTAATTTTCTAAGAAATAAATACAAATCATGATAGTTAATTACAGTTTGCCCGATCACGTGCGTGATCAATGAATGCAGAATTCACAAGACACGTTGACTGATTAGTCGCAAATTGTTAACGCTGACCACTCAATCATCCGCTGATAAAGTAGTTACAGTCGGCCGCTATACTGGCAATCAGTTTTCGATCGGCAAACCATCTATATGATTCCCAGCTAAACGAAAAGCCATTTTTATCGTGGCACCGTAAACAGGTATGTACACAGCGTATAGATCGAGTCTCTTTGTTCGCAGCGTGCATAGCATCATACGCCACGGAGACCGTGATGACATTATGCCATGGAAAACGCCGTTGCACCGTGGTAGCAAACAGTTCGACGTTCGGTGAACCCTGCAGCCCCGACAGCAAGACCTATCTGAGGGTTGTCTACACATGCGGTGAGTACTTTGTTATATTCTTACCCTCGAAAACAGAACCGTCCAATTCTTCAACACAGCGAATTGGAAATAACTAATAAATAAAACACGCCTTTTAGAGCACGCGTGTTTCGTTCAAAGAAATATTATAAATATAATGTTATAAATATCATGAATATTATAAATATTATAGATATTATAAATATCATAAATATCATAAATATTATAAATATTATAAATAATATATATATAATATAGATAATATAAATAATATAAATATTATAAATATTATAAATATTATAAATAATATAAATATTATAAATAATGTAAATATTATAAATAATATAAATAATATAGATAATATAGATAATATAAATAATATAAATATTATAAATATTATAAATAATATAAATAATATAGATAGTATAAATAATATAAATATCATAAATATTATAAATAATATAAATAATATAAATATAAATATATAAATATTATAAATTATATTGCTTCAATTTTTCGACAAGTTCACAGTTGAATAAAAATCTGATCAATTCTCCCTCGATTGAAATGCGTTTAAAACGATCATCGATCAGTGGACCGCTGATATTTACGCAAAATAAAAATCGTCTTCATTAATTGTATCACACAGGGGCCAGCTAGACATCGATTATTATTTTTCCTGATCATTTTTGTGAGTCGAGCATAATACAATAGAACGTTTGAATTGACACATTTTCTGTCACAAACGCGTCAAACTCGCAGTCTATCAGTTTAAACGAACGGTGTACGTTTTCACGATTGGAAGTCGTTTATTTCATTGTCCGGGGCTGAAATTCCATAGGAATGCATTGTTATATTTCACCGGAGCACATTTTATCGTGTTTCATTTATTGGCAAGCGACGCGAACGCGTGAAATCTGCGGCCTCTGGTGATCCGGAACGAACAAGACCGGAAGCCGGAAGGGAAATCTCGAAAATTTCGAAAATTTCGTTTGCCACCGCTGACAATTTTGATAACCGTCGCGTAAACGAATACTTTATACTTGAAGCTTCGGCTACATTAAGCGGAAACGTCAGCGTTGACTATTTCTGTAGATTCGGGACCAGGGGGTAGATCGACGGCGGTGTGTGCGTGTGCGTGCGCGGTGTGTGCGTGTTCCACCAAAAAAGCGAAATTGATATCATCGAACCAGAAGTGATAACGCACTCTGCTCGCAATCGCCGGAAAAATCCAGGTCAAATTCATTGAACATTTTTCTCGAGTGATCAATGGACCGGAACATTTGTTTTCGCCGAATGTTTGACTTCCTCTGATCTCATATGAAACCGTGCACTCGGAAAAATATTCGTCGTTATATAACAAATCGCGTGGTTTTATTGCAAGCGCCGGTAGGGGGGGGGGGGGGGGGCCCACGC